CCCCTCCCCTCCCCGCCCCCTCCTGTCGTGCATGCGTGACCCTGCTGTTTGTTTCCGGTAACTTTTGTAATAACCACACACTTGGGACCTTTAAACAGCCCAGATTTATCATCTTTTGGAAGGTTATATTATTTACAGTCCTGAAAATCTGAAACAGGCCTGCAGGTGTGTACAGGGCAGGTCCACCTTGGAGGCTCCGGGAAAAAATCTGGGTCTTGCCTGCCCCAGCTCTTAGCAGTACCCTCGGCTCATGGCCCCTCATGTTTGCAGCAGTCCTCCTGCCTCAGCCTCCTGAATGCCGGGATGACAGGCATGCCACCATCCCCGGCTTCCTTCCCCCATCTGCAGAGCCAGGAGCACAGTGTCTGCCAGTCTCTGACTGGAGCGCCTGCCTCCCTCCTGTGAGGACCCTGTGTGACACTGGCCCCAGACCATCCACAGTCATCTTCCATCGCCGTGACCTTCACTGTGTCCCTCTGGCCACGCACATCGGGGACCACAGCAGGGTCAGGTCCCGGGAGGGTTAGGGTGTGGGCATCTTGGGGAGGGGCCATGATTCTGCAGAGCAGGCCCGAGAAGAAGTAACTGCAGGGCCAGGAGGGAAGCAGCTGGTGTGGCGGCCTTGCCCTGGCTCCCCAGCACCTGCTTACCTTTTGTCAGCAGAGCCCTCAGAGGAAACAACCAGCCGATTCCCAAAACTAGCTCCTAGCACTTCCCAGCCATGGTGTCTTCCCCAACGTCTGCTGAGAAGCCTCCCCAACCTCTTAGAGGGAGGCTGTGCATCTTTGGTTCTGGGGACAGCGTCCATGTCCGCTGTGGCCCTCGACCTCGGAGGTCCCCTCCAGGTGGCTGTGCCTGTCACGAAGCCTGCCCTGTCTCTCCAGCCCTTGCCTTTCCTGTGTGCCCAGGGATGTCAGGGCAGGTGCCTGGGGCTGCTCATCCTCCGAGCCTGTCCATGACGCGGCCTGGGCAGCTCAGGTCTGTCAATCTGAGTTCCTGAGCTTTCAAGGCGCAGCTGGGCCTGGGGCTCAGAGAGGGTGCAGGACCCTCGGGGGGGGGGAAGGGAGGCCTTGGGGAGCTGGTGTCCCCATCCCCATGGTCTCTGGTGTTGCAGGTCCCTGTGGATGGTGCTGAAGCTGAGGCAGAGGCTACAAGGCCCCACAGCTGCCTTCACCAGGTGCAGTGTCTGGGCTGGGCCAGGGAGGTCCCGGGAGGGCTCACGGTAATGACCCAGCTGCGTCCCCTCAGCCCCGAGCATGTTTGCACGGGGTCATGGGCTTCACCTTGGGCTCGGGGTGGGATGAAATACTTTTTACGGATGGGGAAACTGAGGGTTGCTAGCGCAGGGACTCCTGGGGAGCCTTCATGGGCGTGCCCTGGCAGGCAGGGTCGTCTAAGGAGGAGCCTGTGTCCTGAGGACAGTGGCCTTTGTCCCTGTCATGTCCTGTGCAAACCCAGCCCCCACCCCATGCCCTGCCCGTCTCGGGGAGTCTGGAGGACAGAGGGGTGGACTGGAGGCTGTGGGCTCCTCTGGGGCCAAGCGGAGGGCTGTCCTCAGTCCCCACTGTCCTCTTACAGCCGGCTGCCCCGGAGCAAGCGGAGGGCCATGGAGGCGCAGATTCGGTCGGAGGTGCTGACGCTGCTCAGCAACCTGGCTGACCTGGCCAACGCTGTGCACTGGCTGCCCCCGGGCATGCTGTGGGCCGGCTGCTTCCCCCCGTGGCTGGTGGGCCTCATGGGCACCATCTCCTCCCTGCTCAGCCTCTACCAGGTGGCCCAGGTCGGTGGCCAGGCCAAGGCTGACAGCTCCTGACGCAGTCTGCGGAGCAGGAGGCCACAGCCGGGCCCCGACCGAGGGTCCTTCCCACTGGGCTGGAGTCACCGGGCCAGGGGCTGCATCTTTACCTGAGCAGCCCTGTGCCAGCCGGAGATGAGACGGGTGGGAAGAGGGGCTGGTGGGAGTGCGCCAGGGGTGAGGAGTGTACCCCTCGGGCCTTCTGGGGAGTGCCCTGGGGCTGCGGAGCCAGAGCCCAGGCGGACCTTGCAAGGAACGTCCCCGTCCCTGCATCTGTATCCTCTGGCTGGCAGGGGAACATGGGACACACGTCTGCCTCCCGCTGGGCCTGGAGAGAGCTAAGGGAATCAATTAAATATCCTGGTGCTGGTGCCTGTGCAGCGTGACGTCATTACACTGGTGGTACCGGGGCCCTGGATGCCACAATCAGAAGCCCCCCTCCCAGGCTGCCTTCCCTGACCCCCCAGCAGCTTCTCCATCCCACTCGGGCACTGCCCCGGCCCGAGCCCTCAGCCCTGGAGGGTCACTGTCCACACCCAGCTCCCCCTGGGCACAGGGCCAGTGCTGGCCTCGCTCGCTCATCCCCTGCAGCAGCGTGTGCCTTTGGAGCCAGCGCTGCTGACAGAGTGCAGTGCCACTGAGCATTTCGTGGACGCGGGCTGGGCCGAGCCACACACGTTGGCATCTCTGAAGACTCCCGTGGCTCCTGTGTCCCATCACAGTGCAGTGGGTCGGGACATGCTTGCCTAGGTGTATGTGGCTGCAGGCCGGTGGCAGGGGATGATGCCTAGCAGGGAAGATGTGGCATAACTGCCTCTGGCCTCGAGTGACACCAGCCACAGTTTTGCTTCACGGGGAGACATCTGGTGGCCGTGGCTGCTGGGGCTGCCCTTGGTGACGGTGCCATAGGGAATCCCCCAGCCCCAGCTGGCCCGGAGCGTCTAGTCCTTCCCAGATCAGAGCGGGCCACGCTGTCACCTCCCCGCAGGCCTCAGCAGGGCCCCCTGCTCCCAAGGGCACCAGTGAGACAGGGTGGGGACCTCGACAGTGAATGCCTGTGGGAAGCCCCGTGGGCACCTGGTCTGGTACCAGGAGGAGGGGCCACCACCTGAGGGCTGGAAGGGCTAGGGCAGCAAACACATACACGGTGCTTCCAGAAAAGGAGGCCACCTCCCACCGCATGCCAGCTGACCAGTAGCTCTGTGTGTTTTTAATGCTGGGGACTGAACCCAGGAGCGCTCTACCACTGAATTACATCCCCAGCCCAGCTTCTGAGACAGAATCTCCCTAAGTTACCCAGGTGGGAACCAGATGTGATCCTCCTGCCTCAGCCTCCCTGATGCAGTTCCAAGACTGCAGTTATATGCCCCATGCCTGGCTTCTTTGTGGTTGTTTTTTTAAAGTTTTTCTTTTAGTGCTGGGGATTGAACCCAGGGCATCACACAGGCTAAGTTTGTGCTCTGGAACTGGCACCCCAGCCCTTGAAAGGTGGATTGAAATACAGTCCACTTACCACACACCTTAACCTGCTTAAGGCTAGGAGTCAGTGGTGTTTGGCGTATCCAGCCCTGCTGCTGTCACACAGCCCCTGTCCACCACTGCCCACAGTGACCAGAGCGCCTCGGTCTGTATGCTGTTCCGTCCTGGCTCGGTGGGCCCCTCCCCGCCCCTACCTGGGTCCCCATGTCTCCACTCTGGAGCCCCAAAGGACATCCGCTTCCGCCAGAGGTCATCTTAGACACTTTTATTGCTAGGACCCGGTCTGAAGTTCTGGGTGTTCCCGAAATATCCCGCGGTGAGGAAATGGAATCACTGGAGAAATAACTGCCAGGCGCTAAGATCATGGACCCAGCAGACAATGGGGACACCCACAGAGCCCTCAGGCACAGAGCCCCACCACCGCCACCGCCAAACTCTGCAGACACAGTCAGGCTCTCCTGGGAGTGACCGGGGAGCCCCCACTGCCCTTAAGCTCTGATTCCTGCCACGTGGAGCAGGGCACTGAGGCTGGGGGCCTCCGAGAACTTCCTCTTCACAACAGCAGAGCTCAAAGCCAGCTTTTCTAAAGTGCTCGGGACATCTCAGTACAAAAACAGACTGAACACTGATTAGGACATGGCACACACGAGACCTGCTGGCTGCTGGGGATGCTCAGGACAGGGCAGAGTGTGCTGCTGGTGGAAAGGACCAGGGTGGAGACGTCGAGGTTCTCAGAGGGACCAGGAGCCCAGGGGCAATGACGGGCGGGGACGCCATGCCGCTCACTGGGCTGCCTCGCCCGGTGTTAGCGCCCTGCCCTCTGGTCCCCTCCTGGGCCTGTGGCGTGCAGACTCCACCTACAGGGGCTGCCTGCCTGTTGCCAAGCCCCTGCTGGGTTTGGGAGAATGACTTGCCCCTGGCTGGGGCCCAGTGCCACCCCTCTGGGAGCAAGAATGGCCAGCCCAGGGTCTGGTCCTGCTGCCCTGGCCTCAGGAGGACCCAGGGAGCCTGGGTGGGGGTGAGGCTGAAATGTGCCCCCCACCCCACCCCGGGCAGCCAGCATGCGGACCTGAATGCGGATCTGACCGCCCTGCCCTGCCCAACACCTCTGAGCTACAGCTCACGATGGCCACCTGTCCTCTGGCTGGCAGGGACTCCAGGTGCTTCCTCCTCGTGTCCCAGGGGCCTCCTCCTAGCATCCCGGAGGACTGAAGACCCCTGCCTGGGGTGCAGGCTACTCTGGCTAAAGCCCGAGGCCCCGGGGCTTCCGACCTAGATGGGCCACACAGCATTCAGCCCTCCGCTGGGCGACGGCCACAGTGCCTGCCTGGGCACCGAGGGCCACCCTGTCCCCGCCCAGTGGCCTCTAACCCAGGGCCCCAGTTAGCCCCTCTGGCCAGCTTCTCCATGACCAGTGGGGGTCTCCCAGGGGCCGCGCAGCCCAGCTGGGGCCAGCAGGTCCCCTGACTGAGGTCTTGCCTGTCCCCCAGCCCCATGGGGACCCCATGCTCCTTGCTGCCTGGGAAAAGCAGCTGGGAGCCATCTCTCCCCTACCCTATTGTTTAAAATAGCTCCTTGATTTAGCTGGGGTTAACCTTCCATGAAAACTTCCTTATACAGAAGAAGGTGGAGGGAATTGCCCAGGTGGCACCGCTAATCCTACAGAAAGAGCCACAGGACCCAAGGCACCAACAGCCTGGCCCAACCAGGTGGCTGCCGGGTGTGTGCTTGGGCAGGGGAAGGGCCTGCTGGGCTGGCGAGGTCAGCCCTAGCGGGTGCCCAGAGACACAGGGGTGGGCAGCCCAGGAGGGGCCTGCACCTGGAGCCACCACCCCTCAGAAGAAGATGACGTCTTCCTTGCCGGCTTCCTCCCTGGGGCCGAGCGGCGTGGCAGGCAGTGGTGAGGGCGACGGGGGCACACGCGGGGAGGCGGCGGCCCCGGGCTTGAAGGAGAAGGCCTCGGGGGGTCCATCCGCCGGCGCCGGGCTGGGCGCTAGGAAGCAGGGGTCTGGGGGCAGAGGGGTCGGAGCGTCAGACGCCGTGAGGGGCCGAGGGTGGCCCCCCAGCTTGGCCACTGGCTCACCTGGGGCGGGCGCCGAGCTGTGGCTGCCGGGCAGGACGGGGCTTGCCGACCGGCGGTTCTTGGAGGCGGAGTCGTCCTTGCCCATGAACTTGTTAAGCAGCAGCTGCTGCTTCAGGTCGAAGGATCCTGAAAGAGGGAAGGTGCCCAGGCCTTATCCCAGGCCACCTCGGAGCTACTGACGCCCCAGCAGGCCCCACGGGCCGCTGGGTGACCTTGGAGGGGTCCCTGGAGTCACTCGACATCGGCCAAGAGGACGACTTGGCTCCCAGAGCAATGCCTTTCCTGACACCCTCAGCCCCAGCGGCCACAAGATCCAGGCCGTCCAGCGGGCGTCGCCAGGAGGTGGGCATGGGTACAGGTGCCGAGGGCAAGAACCATGCCCTGGGCCCCCACACCCTACACGTGACCTTGTGCGGCCCTCCAGCCCCATCTCAGCATGTGGGGCCCCAGGCGGGAGCAGGACACGGGGTCAGTCACTGCAACTCTGCCTCAAGGCAAAGGGCCGAGGGGCGGCCCTACCGCACTGCCTCCACCCTGCCTGTGCCCTGGCGCCCTCTCCGGGTGGCACGCACGTCCTTTCTGTGCCCAGTGAGCGCCGTGGCTGGGCCTCCCGGGCCAGGGCCAGGCTCACCTGAGCTCTCCCAGCGCTGGGAGGCCCGACTCTTGCCGCCCTTGTCCTTGCCGCCCTTGGTGGAGGCGGCCAGCTTGGTGGGGATCTGCTGCTGCACAGCCGCCTGCCTCTGGATCTGGTTGGTGGCGCTGAGCAGCTGGATGGGCACTTCGCTCTTGGCAGGCCGGCTCTCGGCAGGGGCGCTGTCCCATCGGACCACCTCGGGCTGCTCCACGAACTCCAGCCCCGCACCAGACATCCGGGTGCCCTGGGCTTTGGCCATTGCCAAGGGCCCCTCGACCCCTTCCCCGTTAAAGCTGGGAGGGTGACTCGGAGGCTGGGCCTGCAAGAGTGACAAAGATCTGTCCCAGTGCTGCTGTGCCCGCCGGAAGCACTCCCGAGTGTCCCTGAGGGCGGCTCGCAGGCCCTCTGAGGGCTCTGCGCGGGGCCAGGAAAAGCCCTGCAAGGCTGGGACCTGCCTTGGGCCTGGGCCTGACCCTGACCCCCACCCAGCTCCTGGCCCAGCTCAGGTGCGTCTGCTCTAGACCCAGGGAGCCAAAACGCACCCGTGTGCTCAACCCTGCTAATCTCAGCCACACACATGCGTATTCGCACTGGCCACCCAAAGCACGGTTTGCTGTTTTTAGGGTTTTTGAGACAGTTCTGCGTATTCCAGGCTCGCCTTGAGCTCACTATATAGACAGTCCTCCTGCCCCTGCTTCCTGAGTGCTGGGACCACAGGCGTGCGCCACCTAACCCAGCTCACGTGCACCCTTTCACGTGCACGCTCGGTGGCACTCTGCCTCGCACCCGCCTGTGCCCCCTCCACGCACACCTCCGCCAGCGACTCGGGCGGCAGTGCCCCGGAGACCGTGTTCTGCTTCTTGAGCCTGCGCAGCAGCTCCAGGCGCTCACGCTCGCGCTCCACGGCACGCTGGGCCTCGCGCAGCCGCTCCAGGTCGTGCTGGTAGGCCTGGCGCTGGCACTCCAGCTCCGCGCGCTCCTGCTCCAGCCGCTCGCGCAGCTGCCGTGCCTCGCCCTCGCGCTCCTGCAGCCGCGCGCCCGCGAGCTCCAGCTCCAGTCGCTGCCGCGCACACTCGCGCTCCCAGCGCTGCTGCTCCTGCCGCAGCTGGCTCTGCAGCTTCTCCACACCCGCCCGCTCCTCGCGCTGCTTCTCGAAGTTGCGTTGCCGCTCCTGCTCCAGCAGCAGGTTCCCGCGTGTCGACTGCAACCGGAACTGCTTCTCGCGCTCCTGGATGGCAGCCCGCTGCATTTCCACAAGGCTGTCCTGCTGGGCGATGGCCGCCTGCGGAGGGGCGGGCCGATGAGCCACACCCCACGCCTAGCCAATCAGGACAGGGCGTGTGCCGCTGGCCCCTCCCCTCCACGCGCAGGTACCTGGAGGCTGAGCAGCAGCTGAGCCAGGGTCTGAATCCGCTGGAGAAGCTGCAGAGCAAGGAGAGGACAGGCGCTGGGCTCCTGGGAGGGCCTGGGAGGCGCGCATGCTGTCCCCGTGAGACGCACACTTGCCACCTACCTCCGACTCCAAGATGGTGGGCAGTCGAGGGCCAGCATCTGTCCCTGGCGCCTCCACCTGCGAAGACATCAGACCAGAGCGGCGGAGCCCACCTGTTATCCCAGGCCTCGCCCTTGGCATGGGTGGCAGAAAGACCCGGGGCCGGGCCCTGGGAAGGCTCTTACCGCCTGTGGGGATTCCTCGCCGCCACCCGGGATGTCGCCGTCCCTGAGCTTCGAGTCGAGGCTGCTGCTGGCAGGGCCCTGCCAGTCCCGGGGCCTGGGGTCGTTGCTGTAGACCTTCTTAAAGCTGCCGTCTGGAACCCCAAGCCAGGTGTGTGAGACACTGCGGGCCCCACAAGTTTGGGGGTGGGGGTGCTGGAACCCTTCTCTTACAGCCCAGCCCCTGCCCTGCTAGGAAATCCAGGCCGGGCTGCAGCCTGCAGCAAGGCTGTGGCTTTTGTGGCACAGGGAGCAGTGGACAGGGAGGGGACCCCAATACCCAGAGACCTCTACGACGTTCCTGCCAACGACACAACCTCTAGGCATGCTCAGGCTGCTGCTAACGAGCATCCCAAGGGCAGCCCCAGAGGCTGGCAGGGAGGCGGGTGACGTTACTTACTCCTGCCGGGGCTGCCCGTGCTGTCGTAGCCCCCGAAGGTCTCAGCCCTCCGAGGCAGGCCCATGGAGCTACCTCCTTCTTCCTCCTGGCAGTTGGTGCTGCCCAGCCGCCTGCAGATCAGGCTGTGGATGCCCTCAACTGTGGAAGGGGACAGGACAAACAAGTCACCCTGCAGAGGCCTGCTGGGGCTCAGGGGGCAGCGGAGCAGGGTTGTCTCCCTCCATCCGCCCTGCCTCACTTGTGATTCTGGACCTGCCCTCACTTCCAGGACGGCAGCTAGGAGCTGTGGATCTGTGTCTGACCCCTGGGAACACAGGGTGGCCACCTGGGGGGTCCTGCATGCCCCTCCCTCCGGCCAGCCCAGGCACCTGCTTTGGCCATTGTTTGTATAATGACAGCCACAGGGAGGGCAGCCGTTGTGGGGAACAAGAGACTTAGACCAGGTGAAGAGAACATTCTAGGCCTGGTACAGCACTTGCAAGCGTCCTTGGACATGAAACCTTGGACACACGAGGGAGGAGCGCGGCATAGCTGGAGGGGCAGCGTGGCCCTGTTCTGGTCTCTGCTCTGTTCTTCAGGACACTCTGGAGGCCACAGCTGTGTCCAGCTGCCCACACCGCCGGCCAGCTGGTGCTCACAGGCTTGCTGGACTAGACAGAGGTTCCCGGCCCAGAGGCAGCTTGGGAGGGGGGCTGATTTAGGGGACCCACGTGGGCACCCGGGAGAGAGGTGGTCAGGGAAAAAGTGCGCTGCCCCCTGCCCCTCTGGGTGGAAGCTGGCCCCAGAGAAGTGGCCCGCTGGCCACACAGAGCCATGGGCCTGGCCTGTCTCACACACGCAGGGCAGACTGGGGACCATCACCTACTCTCGTTCATGGCGGCCCTGAGGATCTGCTCCCCCTGCAGGATTTCCAAGGGGTCGCCTCCTCGGAACAGGCCTCGCGCTGGCCCAGGGTCGTCCAGCCCACTCATCTGGGCCATCTCCAGGTAGATCTGCTGCTTCTCCAGGAGGCTCTGCGCGATCAGCTGGTCCTTCAGGCTCAGGCGCACTGTGGGAAGTGGAGGCGGGCTCAGCCTGGCATCCTCCCCAGCACATGTGCCCTCGGGACCTGGCATCGGGCTGTGGGGATGGTCCTGGCACCCGGGACAAACAACACTGTGGGGCCGGGTGGGGCCTGTCCAGGCCATTGACAAGCTGGGGACAAACTGGGAACCTTAGGAGCTAAGAGTTTTCTAATCTCAAGTCTTCCTTCAGCCTTGCATTGAGGTTTTTCCCTACTGAACTCCTTACACATTTTTTTCCCTTGCTACGAATAGGATTGATTTTATTTTACTTTATTTGATTTGACTGTGAGGTAAGGTCCCACTAAGTCAATAAGTGGCCCAGGCTGGGCTCGAACTTGCAATCCGTGTGCCAGGGAGCAGGGATGACAGGCGTGCCCTTTATTTGATTGCTGTCCTTTTCTGGGGTGCTGGGGATAGTGCCCAGGGCCTGGCGTGCACCCTAGCTCAGGACTTATTTTACAAGACCTTCCTTGCTGTGGCTCCAATGTGCACAGCCTCCAAAGCTCTTGTTCATTCACAAACCTGATCAGTGAATGCAGTGACGGTCTGAGCTGCTAAAAAGAAAGCCTGGCCGTGCTTCTAGGTGTAGCCTGTCTCTCACCATATACAGTGCCGTACCCCTTCAGGGCTCTGTGGCACGAGGACCACCACAGACTCGAGCCAGAACTTGGAGCCCAAATAAACCTCTTTTCTTCATGTCTTCCCCAGCCTGTGGTACTGGGTTATTAGCAACTGAGAACTCACAAAAACCCATAAGCCTCCCCCATCCAGCTAATAAGCAAACACTCTGACCACTCCCAACTGCTTCGTAGTTGATTCCACTAAGTTTTCCAGGCAGGCAATCCTGTCCTATGTGACAAATAATGCTGTCACCTCCTTCATGTAATATCTTATCCCTGCTTCTTCTCTTCCTACTCTGGCTGGAAACTCCGGAATGAAAATAATAGCAGTGAAAGTGGGTGGCCCTGCCCTTCTCCTGATTTTACACAGACTGTCCCCTCCATTATGCTAGGGGGCTTGAAGTTGGCTTTTCTAGGCAGGAGAGAAAATTTTAGTCAAGAAAATTATCTTTCCAAGCCAGGGGTGGTGGTGCACGCTTGCAATCCCAGCTACTGGGGAGGCTGAGGCAGGAGAAGTGGAAGTCTGAAGTCAGCCTGGTCATGTGGGTGGCCACTGCCTTTGAGTCTAGTTGCACTCCGCAGGGCAGAACGGGGGTGGTGCTGGGGTTCCTGGGCTGCTGTCACTGTGCAAGGGACACGTCCTTGAAGCCAGCTCCCTCTTACCATGGAAGTCCTTGAGTTTCATGGCTCGGGCTTCGACCATCTTCCTCTCCTCCTCGGTCTGGCTGAAGGGCCCCTCTTCCTCATCGGGACAGCTGCAGGGAGCAGGGCAGGGGCATCAGCGTCTCCCGGGCTGGGCCTGCAGTCGGGCTGTGATGTGCAGGGGATGGGCAGGCCCGGGAGGCTGAGAGAACAGGAGGACACTGGGCAGGGCCGGCCATCCCTGCCGACTGGGTCTTGCCAGTGCTTGGCTGAGGGAGGAGGGCCTTCGCCAGCAGGCCTGGCGGGGGACAGGCCACTGTACCCAGCCTAGGGGCCACGCATACAGAAAGGCCCAGCTTAGATCTTGCTGATATCCCAGTGGGGTCTTGTGAGACGGGGCTGGGATAGCACTATCAGCCCATTTACTTTTCTCCTTTTTTTGCTTTTTGGTGGTACTGGGGATGGAACCCAAAGCCCACCACCAAATAGATCTCTAGCCATGTTTTACTTTTTAAATTTTGGGACAGGATCTCACGAAATTGTCCTGGCTGCCCTTGAACTCGTGATTCTCCTGCCTCAGCTTCCTGAGCAGCTCAGCTGGGTCTGCAGCCATGTGTCACCATGCCTGGAAGAGCCTGCCTGGGCGGGGAGGGCAGGCCTCACCTCTCCACAGCGCGGCGGATGTGGGCCATCCAGGCGTTCCTGTCCTCCTTAGAGCTCGTGTAGATCTCGTACATCTCGGGCCCTTGCAGGGAGGCGCTGATCAGAAACATGGCCTTCTCCTCGTTGGCCACTTCACGCACAATGAGCTTTTGCAGGGAGATGACGGGCGGCTTTGAGTCCTGCTGGGGGAAAGGTGGCGGACGGCACCCGTTACCCTGCTGCTTCCCAGCAGCAGCCAGACCCTGGGTCCCGGTGCGGGACTGAGAGGGGAGTCGTGTGCGGTTAGCAGGAAGACTTTGCAGACTGGAAGGAAAAAACTAGACCACTGTAATGATATCCTAGTCTCTCTCTTTCTCGCTTCTTCTTTTGGCCAGTACTGGGAATTGAACCCAGGGCTTTTGCACTGAGCTCCATCCCCAGCCCTTTTTATTTTGAGACAGGGTTTTAATAACTTGCCCAGGCTGGCTTCATACTTGCAATCTTTCTGCCTCAGCCTCCTGGAGAGCTGAGACTGGAGGCATGCACTTACTCCACCCAGCTGCTTTTAAGGTATCATATATATCAATATGCTTTTTTTCCCTTTAAAAAATACGGTTTTGCTATGTTGCCCCGGGAGCCCTCAAATTCTTGCACTCAAACGATTCTCCTATCTCAGCCTCCCAAGTAGCTGGGACTACAGGTGCAGTGGCAATTTTTTTTTATAATCAGTAATGAATGTACACTTTACAGAACCCAAAAGATACAGCAGCATACAGTATATATCAACAATAGTCCTCATCAAGTCCCTGAGCCAACCGAAATTCTCACTGTTGTGTATCCATCAAGAAAGAATGCTATGGCCAAGGATGGTGGTGCACTTGGGAGGCTGAAGCAGGAAAATCGCCATGAGTTTGAGACCAGCCTGGGCTACATAGTGAGACCCTGTCTCAAAGAAACAAACAAAAAATCCACAGCAACAAAAGGGGGCTTAAGGAGGCGAATGGGATAAAATAAAATAAAATTTATTCAAAAAAAGAGAAAACTCCCATTCATCTGGAAAAAAAAAGAAAGAAAAAGAAAATTCATATACAGTGGAGTACTACTCTGCCATAAAGAAGGAAAGATAGGAAAATGGATGCACCTTGAGACCATAATGTTAAGTGATGTAAATCAGACACAAAGTATAAATAGCATATGGTCTCTCTTATATGAGAAACCCAAGACATATATAACTTAAAGAGCAAAATAAAAGGTAGACAGGAAACAGAGAGACAGAGCTTTTGCAGCTGGGAAGGGGACCGAGAAATGGAGCGGGAGGAGAAGGGAAAGCAAAAGGAATTAAGATGAATTATGTCCATGTGCCAACTCCCCATGATGAATGCAATCACTATGTATTGCCAACACGGACTAATACAAAACTGAAAAATTACAAAAGATTAGGAAAGACTTAAATGCAGCATTTAAAATACATGTACTTGGTCGGCAGAGATGCCCAGGGGCCAGGCCTAGCCCACTGTTTGCCTTTGCAAATAAAGCTTTATTGACAACACTGGCACCGGCGGCTCAGGTGCACACTCCGTACAGCAGTTTCCGGGGTACAGTGGTGTGCTGGAGGAGTCACCTGCCAACCGCTGTGATACAAATGTGTCACGGAGAGCAGCCAGGCAGAATCTCCAAGATAGAGACACCATGTCTTGTGTCTGGGTGACAGGACTGAAGATGGATTTTTATTTTTTTGTGCACTTTTCTGAACTGTATAAGTTTCTGAAACAAAGTTCAGAGGAACAGGGGAGAGGAGCTGGGAAACATCTTGAGAAACTACTTTTAAGTTTTTTTTGTAGGGGCTCCTGTGCTCTAGGCGATCGCTATCCACTGAGCACCACCAAAGCCCTTGAGAAGCCACTGTAAACCTCTGGGCTCAGCAATGAAGGCCACCCTCTCCAGGTGACCTGGAAGCAAATGGGCACCCCAAGCCCTTCAGCAGCTGGAACCCATCCTGCATCAGCACCTGACAGAACAGGGGAGGAAGTCAAGCCCCCAATGGACGTGCAGCCGGGCAGATCAGCTAACGTGGCCCCCGGTGAGCCTGCCCACAGCCCTGGATTGGTGGCCGCCCAAGCTCTGGCCCTTAGTGATGGCCCACAAGTCCTTAGGGAGAAGGGGTTTTCCCGGCAAGGTTTCTGGGGCTCTCGAGCACTGTGAGTGCCTGTGGAGGAAGGGCGTGAAGACACAGAGGTTCTAGGTCGGGGCCTCCCGGGAGGGCAGGACACACAGGGTAGCTGAGGTGCACTCTCCTGTGGACGTCATCCTCGAAACGCCCCTCCACAGGGCCACCCCACAAGGTCCCAGGCCAGGCCCTCTGCGTGAGGACACTGGCTACGTACCACGGAAGCGAAGACGTATTTCTGATCCTTTTCCTGCAGCAGCAGCAGCACATCAGTCAACAGGACGGCGAGGACATCTGCCGAGACAGCACAGGGGCATCTCAACAGCACGCCCGATAAGTCGCCTGTTCCAGGATGCCTTCAGCACCCCGCTGTTTCTGTTGGAGCCTAGGAGTCTCCTTTCTGACTTGGCACTGAGCATAGGGAAGGCTGGGGCTGCTTCCCCCAGAAATCCCTTCAGGGGCTCCAGCTCCGAGCAGGATGTGGTGGTGCTCAGAATCCCAGCACTCAGGAGGCTGAGGCAGGAAGATTGCTGTGAGTTCGAGGTCAGCCTGGGTTACATAGTGAGTTCAAGGCTGCCCTGAACTACATAGGGAGACCCTGTCTCAGACAAACAAATAAATAAACAAAACCAACAAAAACAACCAAGATGATCAGAGCTGAACCACAGCCCTGCCCCTTGGCCAGGCCACGGTGCCTGGTGGCTCTCCCTGGACTGGGGGCCGCTCCCTGGGGTGGCTCTGTTTAGGATTTCCAGCTGCAGGCTAAGCCTTCTGCTCTCCTTGTCCTTGGCCGCTGGGACCTGGAATGCACACCCACATGCTGCCTCCAGCTTCATCGATGCAAGGAGAGCGGAGCCTGTCCCCTAGTGCCCGAGTCCTCTCAGTGCCTCGGTCTTGGTATGAACATCGTGCAGAGCGGGGCTTTTGTGAGTAACCATAAATCCTGAAACCACTTTTAATAGACCAGAATGCTCGTGTTGCAGAAAGTGCAGATAATACTTTTTGGGGATCCACTTCTTCTTTATTTTTTGAGACAGGGTCTCACTATGTAGCCCAGGCTGGCCTTGAACTCATGGCCCTCCTGTCTCAGCCTCCAGAATGCTGGGATGATCTGTGCCCAGTGGGGATCCACTTCTGATAACCCTGTCTCAATCAGGTATCTTTTTTCCATCTAATTCTCCCTCATTGCAGCCTGTTGATTCTTTTAAAGTTTTTACTGCATTTTAAACTTTTTTGTTGTATTTACTTGTTTCTTTTTTTGCTCCACTGACTGGAGCCCCAGGGGCCAGGGGTCAGGTCTTGCCTGGTCAGGTATGTTCTTGCCATCCAGCTTGGTGCCAAGCCAAGACAGTGCCCCCCCATCAAAGATGGGGTCTGACGATCTGAGGTAACAAGCATTAACCCAAGAGGATGCCCATAATACAAGGCGGCACCTACCATCCGAGATGGCATCCACCACTCCAGCACACTGTCCACTGATCCAAGACAGTGCCCGTCATTCCAAGAGTGTGCTGACCACTCACTGATGAAGGCCCTCATATGGTATGCAACACATCAAGATGGTGTCACCATTTCAAGATGACACCCACCACCCCAAAAGAGAACCCACCAATCCACATGGTGGCTGCCATTCCAAGATGGCACCCACCATTCCAAGACAGTGCCCACTAATCCAACATGGCAGCTGCTGGAGGAGGCCGGGGCGGAGCTTTACCTTTCAAGCGCCCTGATGTGGTCTTCCAGCACAGTGTGCCCTCCAGGTGGAGCTGCCGCTGGAGCATGTCCTCCTTGCGGAAAGTGAGCCCATTTTTGAGTTTGCTGGAGGACTTCAGGTCCATTTTGCCTGCGATCTCCCTGAGGCGCTGGCCCTTCTCCCACTCGCTGACCTTGGCATCCACTTGTGAGATGATGTCTCGGATGAGGTTCAGGGCCTGGGTCAGATCTTCGTAGTCCTCAGTGCCAGCTGCCACACACGCAGAGTTACACAATGTCCCCAAGATTTGCACGTGCACGCGCGGGGGATCTATGAGGGTCATTCCCTGGGGCCACTGTCCTGGGGACCTTCAGTAATCACCTCCCAGCTCTAATACCGAGAAGGAAATGGCCTCCTAAATCAACGCCATGGCCCACAGTTTAGTTTTGACCCAAGTAGAGTTCCTGTGGCATGCAGAAGCTAAGATGTGATTCAAGTGACAAAAACTGTCCTGCACAGCTCCTCCGGCCACTCTCGGTGCACAAACTCCCCCTACCCTTCCAGCTCTTCCTGAGACGCCCCTCGGCTCCTCCCCCTGCTCCGTGGACCTGGTGGGGGAGCCTTCTTGTTCTCCCAGTCTGAATCCACTGGTGTGACCATCATGCCTGGCCCTGGAGAAGCCCGGCGGGCTATGTACCCTTGCTCCTCTGCCCTTCCTGGCTCCTGGCATAACTCTTTCTTGGCCCTGGTCATGCAACACGGAGGTCACCCCTGGGCCTGTCTGGGTGCCTTGGGAATAACCTCGCTTCAGACCACTTGTGCAGGCCAGAGGCTCACCTAGGGCCTTGTCTGGCTTGGCCTGAGCTAGGGGCAGGGAGTCATGGTGAGCACATGTGGCCGGTCCCTGCCTTCTCGTTTGTATTTTGAGACAGGGTCTTGCCGTGTAGTCCAGGCCAGACTTAAACTTTCAGTATTGCCCAGGAGGGCCATGACCTTGTGACCCTCCTGCTCCAGCCTCCAGAGTGCTGGGGTGACAGGCATCCGCTGCCATGCCCAGCTCTGGTCCCCATCTTCATGGCACTGACCACGTTACCCTCCCCATTGGGAAACCCTGGCGCCCAGCACAGTAGATTCTAAGGGGAGCTAAGCCAACTCCCTGCAGCGCCCTGCCCTGCTGCAGCCCCGACAGGCCACGAAGTGGGGCGCCCCACCTGCCGTGTTCTGGATGATGCGCTCCACCAGCACGGGGTACTTGGTTATGCGCTGAGTGATGAGGAGAATGCACTCCTGCACGCCCAGCCGCCTCACGATGGAAAAGTTGCCGATTTTCTAGGAACCGGAAAACAGAAGGCCTTGTGTTAGCATCTGATCTCCACGGGATCAGTTAACGATCAGCTTCCAAGCCTGGGGGGCTCCTTCCTTTTCAGTTTGCTGGGACCCCTTTGGTGCTGACTGTGGGCTCACCTACTGGATGCCTGAAAGTGGGGATCACCTGCTGTACACAGAAGGCCACATGAGCAAAGGGGCCCCTGCAAAACCCAGTGAGGAGGAACGAGAATCCTTCATGGGGAAGCTACGTGGACCACTTGTTGGGCCGTCAGGACCCACATGCGTGCACAGCAAGACCCAAACCCTGAACCTGGACCACTCTTGTTCCCTGACCTCTCGAGGAGCCTGGGCTTGTCCCTCCTCCTAGCGCTGGCTCCCTGGGGGCTGACAGCCAGAGACTCGGCCACTTGGACTCATTTCCTGGCGGGCTGAGGGTACCTCCTGTGCTCTGCAGAGCATGCCGCACTTTCTGTGGGTTTGCACCACTGCTGGCCTGTGCATTTTAGGAATGCTGGAAATTGCAGACACTACTTTTTTTTTTTTTTGCGGTGCTAAGGATTGAGCCCAGGGCCTTTACACTGAGCTGCATCCCTGGTCCTTATTTCATTTTGAGATAGGGTCTTGCTGAGGTACCCAGGTTGGGTTTGAACTTGCCACCCTCCTGCCTCAGCCTTTCAGGGTGCTGGCATTGCAGGCGTGTGCCGCCACACTTGGCTATTTTTATGAGACAAGGTCTTGCTATGTTTTACTCAGGCTGCCCTGTAACTCCTGAGCTCCAGTAACCTCCTGTCTCGGCCCCCGGAGTAGCTGGGACTGCGGGTGTGCCCCACTGCTCTGGGAACAAATTGTAAGTACATGTCTTTCTTAACTTCAGACTGTTAGCCGCAGAGAAGCCAACCTACAACAACGTCCCTGGGCACAGGAAACAGGCTGTGGAGCTGCTTTGGTGCCTGGAACCAAGCAAGGTAGGGGCTGAAAAAGTGATTGCTGACAGACTGAGTGTCCTTTCTGGGACACCATAGCCCAGGCTGGCCTCAAACTCAGAGTGATCCTCCTGCCTCAGCCTCCCAAGTGCTGGGATTGTAGGTGGGTGCCACCACGCCTAGCTGCTTGGACTTATTTTAATTTTGGGATTCTATGAGAGATTTCGCTGACATGTTCTGAGTTGGTTTGTGACTGAAAGTAAAAATGAATGGTGAAAATCACTATAACACCTTATAGTTTCCGGATTCCAAGATGCTACAGTTCTGTGGGGGAAAAAACCTACAGTGAAGGAAAGATTTTAATTAATTAATTTTTTGTTTGGTACCAGGGATCGAACTGGGGTCCTTGGGATTGTGAGGCAGGCGACGGAGACACTGAGCTAAATCCCCGGCCCTGAAAAGATTTTAATTTTAAAAAATTATTATTTTTTACCTTGATCAAGTTGTGAAATTTCTTGTTTTGCTGCAGCAGTAACTTGTAATGACTGACTGCCTCGTTATGGCCACTACAAAACACACCGTATTTCTCTTTCATCCTCTCCCCGTTTTCACCTGAAAACTAATGTCAAAGAGGACGGAAACGTTACCAAAACGAAACATGAAGACCATCAAGGTGTATTTTTGTCTAGTTCATCTGGCTGTGCTGAAATAAAGACAGAGGTGACTGTGCGTGGGGGCTTTCGCTACATCACAGATGCTTAATTAACCTGTGGTCCTTTTTGCCACCAGGGTTTGGTTTCTGAGGAGAGAGTTTATCCAGGGCCGGGGAGGATGGTTTCGGGATAATTCAAAGGAACATGCGCGCCCTAGATCCTGCACACGCGCAGTTCAGAGCGCGGGGGGTGGGGGCTCCCAAGAGACCCTAATGCCTACTGTGGGCTGGACAGACAGATGAAGCTTCATTGTGCGCCTGGTTCCTAACCAGACATAGGGGCTGGGCCCTCCCCTCTACTGACAACTTTACCGTTTAAAGTTTCCTGAGATCCAAGAAGAAAATAAATAAATTTAAGCCAAAGGATGTTAGCAAAATGAAAAGACAAAGCAGTATTTTAAAAAATTAATTCTAATTTCACTTTTTTTTTCCTTCCCGTGCTGGGGATGGAACCTCCCTGTCAGGCACAGGCTGCACCACTGCATCACACCTGCAGCCCCCAAATGGCCGAGGCTGCTTTGGGCAAGCAGCCCAAGGTGAATGGGGGCAGCGTCCCCCACTGTCCCTCCCGGTCTAGGCTGGGAAATGACCATTAGGGGTCCACAGCCCCACTGCTGGTCTAGAATCCTGCTTCTGTCAAAAGCAGCAGTTGGGACCTTAAAATAAAAAATGAAAGGAAATGAAACAACCAAACGAAAGCATAGAGGGATGCGACTCTGAACAATTCTGACAGGAGCGTTTGCTCTTCTGGCCTCTGTGTCCCTAGGGTAGGAGCTGCAGGAGCCAAGGACTCTTTTTCTGTTTTGGGTCTTTTTGGTGGCCCTGGGGCATGAACCTGCGGGCTCAGGCCTGCTAGGGAAGCGCTCTACCAGTGAAAAACCAGAGCCGTTGTTGTCCTCACTGGGTGGGCCTGGAGGTCCCTGCTGGTCACAGCTGCACCCACCTGCTGGACCAGCAGGTCCCCGATCTTCTGGATGACGTAGTTCTGCTCGCTGCCCTCCTCCAGCCCCTCCTGGCGGCGCTCCTTGAGACGGGCCAGGAAGTGGCCATGCATGTCCAGCAGGTCGTCCACGCATGGGAAGAGACGGCTGACGGCCTTGCTGCTGAACTGCAGCTCCTCCTGCATCGCCCTGGAGTAGACCTTCAGCATGATCTTCAGCGTGCGCACATGGTGTGCCTCTGTCTGCATCAGCTCTGCGGGGACATGTGGTGGGGGAGGTGGGAACTGGGGTATTGCTGGCTGCGTGGCTGGGGTGGGTGGCTCAGGAGGTGCCCACCTCAGCCCTTGGCCTTGTGGCCTTTTTCATTTAATTAAAAAAAAATTTTTTTATAAAGCAATGGATCCTTGCTGTGCTGCACAGGCTGGTCTTCAACTCCTGGGGCTCAGATGATCCTCTTGCCTCAGCCTCCTGAGTAGCTGCAGTGGGTGGGCATTCGACCCTGTACCTGCCTTTTGTCCTTTATTAATTTTTATTAGTAGTACACATTGGCAGTACATAAAGATTACATTTGTTGTGTGGAATTGGTGCATGGACATAACACATTTTAATTCTTTTTTTATCCCTTTTTCCTCTCCTTCCTTCCCACTCCATCTATCTCTTGTTCCCCTTCTCGGTTGAAAAAGATCTATCTCCCTACTTCCTGTTCTTGCTCTTTTATTTTGCTCTCTATATATGAGTTTCTGATGCAGGAGAAACCATGCGATACCCATGTTTATAGCAGCACAGCCCACAACAGTCTGTATGCCCCTCAATAGATGAATGGACAAAGAAAATGTGACGTTTACACACAATGGAGTACCACTCTGCCATAAAGAAGGATAAGCTTGAGCCATCCATAGGTAAATGGATGCATCTTGAGACCACAGTGTGATGTGAAATAAATCAGACACCAAGCGTGTCCTTTCTTCTTGCCCAAGTGTCTCGTTCTCCCCATCCAGTGCTGTGGGAGTCCCAGGCTAAAGGAGCGGAGAAAAAAGAGGACCCAGGACATGCACTGAGGCCTCAACACCCTAGGAGGGCTTCACGCCTGAAGTTGACAGAGGACATTTGAGGGCTGTTTTCACAAGAAGGTTGCTCTGAGCGATGCTAGGCCTGTGGGGGGAAAACTCACATTTCTGTGCTGTCTGTGATCCCCCCCAAATTCATGGCTGAAACCTCACTCCCAAGGCCGTGGTATAAGGGGGGACCTTTGGGAGGAGGTTAGGTTATGAGAGTGGAGTCCACATGGATGGGGAGATCCCAAGATGGGTGCAGTGGTGCACCCTAAATCCCAGCTCCTCAGGAGGCTTAGGCAGGAGGAGCACAAGTTTGAGGCCATCCTGGTTAATTTAGCAAGACTTTTCCTGAAAATAAAAGATGAAAAGGACCGGGGTGTGGCTCAGGGGTAGAGTCCCGGGGTGAGGTGCAGACCCGACTGTGCCCTTCACCGTGGCAGGACACAGCAAGAAGGCGCCGCCTGTGAGCCCTGCAGCAGCCCTCCCCAGATGCTGGCGCCTGGGTCTTGGTCTTCCCTGGGGCCCCTGGACTCTGCGAGTTTCGTGAGTTGAGTCCAAGTCGCCGTCTCCAGTGTTCTGTTAGAGCAGCCCAGAGGGACGACAGCTACCACCAAGGCCAGGGTGGCTCAGACCTGGGCGCCCCGCCAGGCCCCTCTCGGGGATTGGGGTCTTCCCTGGGCCCAGGGACAGGGGTGACAGGCGGGAGGACTGAGTGACAAGGCCTCAGGGGAGGTTGACCCAGGAAGCCAGACCTCTCTTGGGGGAATTAGCTACAGGGGAAAGAGAGCAAGCGAGAGGGAGGGAAGGAAAGGAGGGCTGGTGGCGGGGCAGATGTCTCACCATAGAGCACATCCTGTCTCTTCACCACCTCTCGCTTCTGCTTCCGGGCGTATGCCAGGTCCACGGCCAGGCTCCAGGACTCGGCCTCGAACTCGTGGGCATCTGCTTCGATCTCGCTCCTCAGTGAGGCAGTGTAGGGATCTGAGGGAAAGACGGGGACTGCTGGAGGGGAGCGGGGCTCTGGGTCCGCACCCCCGGTGTCCCTGGCATGGACAGCGGTGACCGAGTGTTACCCTCGGGAGACATGCGGTGACTGTACCTTCTACGAAGATGGGCTCGGCGTTGGAGGGTGTGAGGGAGAGGGAGTCGTCAGCCGCCTGCTTGGATTTTGAAAATGCAGAATCGGCTTCATCCATCTCTCCTGTGACAGGTCTAAGGGAAATGAATCAAACAGTTATTCCAAACAACTGCATTCCACACTCACGCTCAGCACCCCTGTCTAGGAAGGCAGAGCAGTCTGTTGCTCTGGCTGACTAAACAGCAGAGAACGTTCCAGGTGCTGGGAGAAGGCTTCCTCGTCACAGGCCATCTTTAAAAACTCGGGACCGATCAATGTCACACCAGGGTCCCTTCTGCCCCGACTCCTGTACCACTCAGGTCTGTCCCGAGGGGTGGGAGTCATGGGTGTCCCTTACTGTGGGCACCCAAGCCCAAAGGACTCCTTCTGCAGGATTTAAGGGGCCCAGCCTCAGTCCAGGGCAGGAGGTATGGTTTTTTTGGTTCCCGGGATCGAACTCGGGACCTTGCGGTTTCGAGGCAGGCAGCGGAACCACTGAGCTAAATCCCCGGCCCAGGAGGTCTGGTTTTGCATAGAGGAAAAAGATAACGAGCTCCCCTTGCTACCAATGATAGGAGGTTTCCGCCTCTCTTTCTACCCAGTGGTGCTGACTGAGATGTTGAGGGACCACCTTAACATCCTATGAAGCTGAGGAGGGCATAGGTATTGGGGTGCAGGACTCCTAGCATGGCCCGGAGGACGAGGGAACCCTGTCCAACAAGATCCGAGTGTCTCACCAGAGCTGGCTCTAGACACGTTGTTTTCAGCCGAGAAAACACAGGGCACCATTAAAGCAAGTGTTAATGGGAATTTCACCCAGGGGGCCGAGCGGATGCATCTGGACCCCCGAGGGCCGCCCCCCACCGCAACCTGACAGCAGAATGAGGGCCCTCACTTACCCGAGTCGCACCCCGGCTCCGGTTCCGGCAGGGCTGGGTGTTGGCTGGGGACCCCCTTTCTGAGAGACCATCATGCTGCTGACATTCCTGGACGGGGCCGGGCTGCCATCAGACAGGAGGGAGCCCCGAGGCAGGGGCTCCTTCATCGAGGCTGCGACAGAGGCAAAGACAGAGTTGCTGCTGAGAAAGTGGGCAGGGTAGCGGAGGCCGCCCGGCCGGAAGCCCCGCTCCGACTGGGGCCGCAGCGCCGACAGGATCTTGGAGGTCAGCAGCTCGTTATCGAGGAAGACGTTCTCACTCCATTTCCTGGGGAAGGAGCCATAGAAAGACAGCTCGGGGCGGCCGGGGAGCGCCTCGTGCCTGTCGCCACCCTTAGAGTGCGTGTTCCCCATGCTGGCACCCGAGCGGCGCTCCCGCTCCTGGTGCCCAGCCGGCCCGGGCTGCGCCCTTTTTATGCCTCGGTGAGATCCTTCTAGAAGACACAGCGACGCTTTCCCTTGCTGTATTGGCTGGAGCAGCGTGGCTGGAGGGCAGGAAATTGGACCCCACTGTGACCATTTAGTGTGCAAACTGCACAGCATTCTCTCTTTTGGTAAAACAATAAAAAAGAAAGAAAGAAAGAAAGAAACCCTCTCCTGTGCCGCCCTTGGTCATTACTGCGGGTGAGAAGCACAGAGAGGTTCGCTGTAAATAATCTATGATGGTGAAATACGCCGTGCTGTGCTCGGCGCAGTCCGTGCCGACACCGCAGGCGATAATCAATCTGAGAGCCGAGGTCAGGGCACGGAAGAGACCCAGGGCCCGCGGGCACGGGCTGCACTTAGCTCACCATTAGCACCGGGTTGGATTCCCCCGTCACCATGTCCTGAGGCTCTGATTCTATTTTATACAGTGACTGGAAACCAACCAACAGGCAGTGGGGCCCTGAAGGACCGTTTACAGCTGTCTGCTCCTTAATTTAAGGGTCTGGACTGAGGGTCCACATCCCCACTGGTGGAAATATTTCCTATTGACGGAAAAAATGCAACCACTTCTTTTCTTTTTGGCTGCAGTGCATCCAGGCAGGGATGGGGCCAGGGCCTTGTGCATGCTGGGCAGGTGCTCACTCCAAACCCTGGAAGGTACAGCTCTCAGTGACAGCCCAGCTGTTCTTTGCTCACAAGGCCAAATCTCCTCTCCTAGCCGACAAGCCACACTGAACCAGGCCTGACCGAAGCAGGGTGCTCGGCTACTGTATTCTCAGCGTGAAAAATCACATTTTAAGGCTCTGCTGCAGGCAAGGACAGACAGCAGCATGACAAACAAATCTGGTGTCTTCCCAGGCCAGCTCTGGGTCCCCAGTGCACCCAGCTAGTGGTTGCTCTGGGTTACAGGAGGAAGGTAGCTGCAGCTTTGCTTCTATGCAGGTCCTTGTACCCCAAAGCTTTCGGGGGGAAGGCACTGAGTACAGATGAGTGCAGGGGGGAACACACCGTGGTCTGGGGGTCACATGTAGGAAATTCAACCCTGGAGCCACAGCAGAGGGAGGTGCAACCTTGTAAGAGGCGAGTGGGTCACAGGAATGGATTAACATCCTCATTGCTGTCGAGAGTTAATCTGTTAGAACAGCACTGTTAACCCTCTCTGGCTTTCTGCATCTCACACCACCGTGTGCTCAGACTTCTCGGGCTCCAGACCACCAGACAATAAACATCCACTCTTTCCAACAGGTGTTCTGTTATAGCAGCAGAAGACAGACTGAAAAAGCACATGAGATTTTCCAGCAGAGGAGTAAAGAAAGCTTATAAACAAAGATGTTGGTCATCAGCGGTGTGACATCTCGCTGGACATGTTTTCCGTAGCCATTACCACAACGAGGGTGATATTTCTTTGTTGGATGTCATGTTAATAAATGGACATTACGCCACACCTGCCTCGCAAGTGCAAGGTCCTGAGTTTGATCCCCGGTACCAAAAAATAAGTAATTAATTAAATAAATGGACATTACCATCACTACAGTAGATGAAGGTGAAGAAGATGTCGCTCAGACATGAACACCCATGCATTGAGGTAAAAATCCCAAACCCAAGTCAAGACATTTCGGGCTGGGCATGTCCAGCTATTTCTATGCCACATTAAAGCCCAGCCTGGAAGTTATGACCTAAATGTACAAATATGCGACAAATCCTGAAATGCAGCCTTTGCTCAGTCTCCTGGCACGTCTGACAGACCATTCCTGAGAACCAAGGCTGTCAGATGGAGCTGCTTCAGCCACATAGCCCACAGGAGAGCTGCCATAACCACCACCTACCGATGGCTGACTGCACAGAATCTGAATAAACTACTGGTAGCAATAAAGCTATGGTAACAGACACAAATCTTCCTTGTATGATTCAGGACCCAAGTTGAAGTCACGTCTCAGGATGGAGTGACACAGTGGACTCCCTGTAATAGGTGCCCGAGTCAGTTCCCAGTGACAGTAAAGGACTCACCTGTACCTTTCACACACAAAGCAGCCAATCAGAGTCCACACTCCAGTCACCTCCTTTTTAACAGGTGCGCACACTCCAGGCCATGATTCACCTGCCCCGACACCCAATTGCCCAGGGTTCCGGGCGGCAAGGCCAGCTGAGTCCTGGTGCCAGCTGAAATGACTCAAACACCATAAAGGCTCATACCCATGTCTTCCTGCCTGCACCTGACCCCAGGGGCTCCTGTGTGACTCTGGGCGGTGTCTTGCTCCTGCTTCCAGGAGACTGAGTCTAAGTCTCTTCCTTCACAACAGGTGCTTCCGCTTCCGGGTTTGCAAGTCTTAGCAGACCTTGTTAAAACAAGTACCAGCCACGCTGAATACACCAGTGGCCTGGGGGCCTGCCTGCCAGCCACGCTGAGTGCAGAAAGCCTTACACCTGCCCAGCCGGACAGTTTTCTTCCCTCTGTGTGTTCTGCGGTGGCTGTGGTTTTTGCAGTGCTGGGGATCAAACCCAAGACCTTGTGGATGCTAGGCAATTGCTCTGCTGCTGAGCCACCCGCCACCCCCCTTCCTCATCTAGATACAAAACTGAGGCTGTGGTGAGAACATAAAAAAGGTGTAGTGCTTTGGAAAACAGTCTGGAGGCTTCTCACACAGTTCAACACAACTACCACACTCCTGGGGTTGGGTCCAGAGGAAGTGAAACATATGCACACTAGTATCCATCAGTCCACGGGTGTCCACAGCAGTGCCATTCATGGTGGCCTGAAGTGGACACAACTCAAATGTCCATCTGCTGAGGAATGGGAAGACAACACAGTCCGGTGCAACCAAACAATGAAAATACGTAGCTGTGAAAGGCATGCAGTAGAGACACATGCTAAGGCGTGGGCAAAACCCTCTCACATGCTTAGTAAAATAAGTTAGGCGCAAAAGAGCACATACTGGACAGGTCCGCTGAGACAGGAAATGCCCAGTACAGGTAAACTCATAAAGGCAGAAAGTGGAGTTACAGTTGCATGCGGCTGCAGCTGTAGCTCAGTGGTAGAGCACAGGCTTAGCAGGTAGGAGGCCCTGGGCTCCAACCCCGGTGCTGTGGAGAGGGGAGAGTAATAGCTAATGAGTATGAGGTTTCTTGGGGCTCTAAACTTGATTATAGTAACTGTGACTACATGAAAAGCCCCCGAATTACATACTTAACCGGGCCAGCCGCGAGGTATGTGAACTGTATCTCAATAGAGCTTCGAGGCAGACACACGGCTATGTGGGGAGCCATGGTTCTGCAGGAGAACAAAACCTGATTTTGCTGTTAACATTTGGGAGGAGCTGGTCATTCTGCTCTTGCCTTGAGATGGGGATAGAGATTTATCTCCTGCCCTCATGTTTTCCTAATGCAGGTGGCAGGGTGGGTGGGGCAGACTGGCGATGGTGTGGCTCTCGGGTCTGGGCCACAGCACTGCCCACCTGTCTGTGGGGCCATAAAATCCACTCTGGAGCCGGCTGTGCACACCTGTGATCCCAGCACTCTGGAGCTGGAGGCAGGAGGATCGCCATGAGTTTGAGGCCAGCCTGAGCTACACAGCAAGACCCTGTCTCAAAAACAGATCAAAGCACCACAGAACAGTCACTTTGGATGGGCTGAAGATGTAGCTTAGTGACAGAGTGCTTGCCTAGAATGTGCTAGGCCATTGGTTCCATCCCCAGCACCACCAAAAAATAAAAAATAAAAAATAAGAAGGCAAGAAAAGAAAAAGCCCCTCTGGAGTTCAATTAGCACCGTCTGCCCCCTGCTGCACGGTGCTATCGATCCGTGTGCTCCCACCAGTATGTCACAGTCGCTTCTGCAAGGGGCTCAGAAGAGCCAGGGAGGAAAACAAGGAGCCAAGGGTGCAAATGGGAAATGGCAGGTAAACAAAACCAAGCCTCATTCTCAGCCACGGACAGACAGCAGCCTGTTCTTGGGATGATTCCCTAAACCTGCTTTGCGTTGACTTCTTAGGGTTAAGCGTGGCCTGTTGGGGTGGGTGAGATGACTCTGCCTCACGGGGCTGCTTGGTGACTCAGTTGCTCGTAAATCCTGGGAAGTCACTGGCCTTTTCCTCTGATAAAGTCCCACAAGTCCCACTTGCTCTTGTAGAAATGCAAGGCCCCCCTCAAAAAAAAGAAATGTAAGGACCCACAAAGACATCACATGAGCAGGACTGAAGAGTGATTTTAGAGGCAGCCTGATGTGACAGATGCCCTACCTCCATTAGTTTTCAACTGTTTTTTCCCCTACACTGGGAATCTAAACCCAGAACCTCCGCATTGAGCTACACCCCCAGTGCCACCCCTTCCTTCTGAGAGGTTCTTGCTAAGTTGCCAAGGCTGAGTTCAAACTAGTAATTTCCCCCGCCTCAGCCTCCCGGAGTGCTGCGATCACAGGTAAGCATCACCATGTCTAGCTTTTCTAGCTTTAAACCTTGAGGCACATGGAGAAGCACACTGGCTTCCAGAAATACCCACTGTTTTCTTTTCTTTTTCTGGCGGGGCTGGGATGGAACCCAGAGCCAGGTGCATGTCAGGCAAGCTCTACCCATGAGCTACACCCCGGCCCTGAAATGTCAACTTCTAAGCAGCAGCTGTGAGTCTAACTGCAGAGTGTTGCTGCCCCTCGCTGGCAAAGTGACTGAAAGTGTCTTTGCAAGGCAGCAGGGCCT